TTCGTTCTTCCTCTCCGTCAAAGGAAACCGCCCAATGCAAACCTGTCGGCTGCAGAAATTGGAAGCCCTTCGGTGCTCGATATGCCAGATTCGTCCACGAGCCGGGGGATATCATGGACTGCTGCTCTCCACCTGCAAGGATTCTAACGGCCTTCTATGCGGCTTTGGCGGAACTCTTGGTGGCGGTGATCTAGAGTCGACCGTGCTCGCTAACGTTGCGGTCTTCGGTACCGCTCCTTGATGGACCAGACTTGGTCCACTCGGGACGCTGCTGCTGATCCGGATGGTTTCTCTTTGGAAGCTGAGGCCACTGAGCAGTGTTACTCCTCGTTCATCAGCTTCCTCATTTCCAGGAAACAGCCTGGGTACGGCCATTCCTGTCATCTATCTCCAATAGCTTGTTCGCTGCCCAGTTAATTCAGAACTTGCTGTTGCGTGGGACCTATTCCTTCCCTGTGTTCACTGCGCAGTTTTTGATGAAGACGACCCAACGGAGTCCTTAGCAATCCCACTGATATACGAGGCAGTCTGGACCGGAAAAATATGTATCTTAGAAACTGTATTCCTATATAATACCCCAACCAAATCACCCAAGGTTAATAAATACTTAAGAAGAATAATAAATAGGTACCAGCAAATAATAATTGAACAGATAAGTTATCAAACATCTAATAGCAGATAAATAAATATAGATCACCTATATTTAAATAATACATTGAATATATGATTCTTCCCAATATAATTCCTTTTTTTAATCTCTTTAATTTCTTCTCTTTTCATATATATTATGGGGAGATGGAACAGGTCAACAGCCGGTGGACTCCTGGCCAAAGACTTTCTAGTGCGTATTTTTCGTCATTTTGTCCCTGAACAGGCCGTTAAGGACATTGGCTGCTGGCTGAATCCTGTTGGCTCTGTTTTGGCCTCTGCATTCTTGATCCATAAGCCGCTAGGTAGTGCAGCGCGTGTAAGTCACGTTTACACATTTAAGTATTCAACCGACATAAGAAATGAAAAACCTACGTGAAACAAAAACCCAAGGATCAATGCACCAAGCAGTTTAATGAAAACTGACTCTACCCAACAAACACAAAACTATAAATATAAATAAATAAATAATTACAAATCACATAGTTCAAGTCTTTTGTGTTTATTGCACTGACACACTACAGATGCAAATCATGCCATCCGCAGGTCAATGGTCTCCATGCCTGGGGTCAAGCCTCCTTGTTTTTTGCATGTGATTGGGCAACATTTAAACAATATTTTTTTCTTCCAAAAATATTGAAATTTGACTGAGATCTCCGGCGGCGCCTCGAAGAAAAGATGTTTTGCGGTGTACACGATAACCGGTCACAGAATCATCTGAAATTCAACAATCCAATAGCATTAGTTGAAGAACAAGATTCCTTTTATTTTTTTTTCGATTTTTTAAGTCAAAACACCGATTTTCGCCTAAAACGTCGAGATATTTGTTGCTCTAAAAATAATACATTTTCAAAAAAAAAAAACTCGACAACGTTACCTGAGGAATTTAGTTGAGAACAACTGTGAAAAATTTCAAAACGATCCGTCCCATAGATTTTGCAGGATCGTGTACACCGACTTTGAAAGGGGTAACTTTTCAGGAGAGCGCTTTAAAGTTTTGGACACCCATACAAAACGAGTTAACTTACACTCACTCGCATATCTCTACGTACACCCCAAAAAAATTTCAAAATCTAACTTTAAACCCTAGCTGTTCGGCCATTTATGCATATATTCAACCCATTCTTTTTTTTAAACATAATTATAATTTATTGTCTTCATTGACGTATTTTTTTTAAAATTATTCAACAGTGTCTTATATTTTATTTTTAATTTTAAACTTAACACTACCAAAAAATGTAGCCGCAAAAGTCTGCGTACACCTGTTTAAAACACAAATAATATTATTTTTAGTAACTGGTAGGGTATTCTTTTCTCTGCAAAACTTCCGTAAGGCGTCTCGGGATGGAATCCACTTTTTTTTTTGTCTCATTTGCAGTAATTTTCCCCTACTCCTCGAGAATCACATTCTTGAGCATTTTTTTAGATGTTATCGTGTGTCTTCGGATTTTCCTCTCAAGAAGATCCCAAAAATGCTCATTTGGGTTAGATCAGGACTTTGGGGAGGTGTTCGCAGCTGATTTATGACGTTATACAGCAGCCAAAGCTTGGTATTCTGCGCCGTATGCTTCGGGTCGTTGTCTTGTTGGAACCAACATTCACTTTCGAGCCCTAATTTTTCAGCACTTTCTTTTAAATTGTTTTTTAATATGTCAATATAGATTTTCTGATCCATTATTAACTCGATAAATACCAATTTTCCAACGCCACTTGCTGCCATACACCCCCACACCATTATTCCGCTTCCTCCTTGCTTTACTGTGCCAACCAAATTTTCTTAATTTGAGGCTTCTCCGCTTTTCCTCCATACCAAAACCTTTCCCTTGATTCCAAATATGCAGAATTTAGTTTCGTCGGGAAATATAATCTTATTCCAGAAGTCTTGGTGTTTGGAAATATACTCATTAGTAAAGGTTAGGCGCTTATGTCTATTGACTTCCGATATGAGAGGTTTTTTGCGGGCGACTCTGCTATGGTAGTCAGCCTTTTTTATGGTCCGGCGTACAGTATCTTCGGAAACTCTTTTGGAAAATCTATCCTCGACCTTCAGCTTTGCCTGGTGAGCTGTCGTCCTTGGGTTGAGCTGAATAGATTTGATAATATTCCTCTGCTCGCGGATTATAAGCAAAGGCGGACGGCCAGAACGAGCCTTTGGCAAGATACTTCCAGCCGAGTTGTAGTTATCTATCACTCTTTGGATGGATGAGTGGGTTCTACCAACTAAAGCACCAATTTCTCTATAAGATTTTCCATCCAAAAATATAATTTTCCACTCCTCAACTGAAATTTCCTTGCCTTTTTGTTCCATGTTGCAATATGCTCGTTATTATAATGAAAAAGTTTCATTTTAACTGCGTAATGTCTATTTTTAGACATTCTAAAGTAGATCGGCGACAACAAAATTAACGGAAATCGCACAATCCTGCATTCCTCGAAGTTGAAAACTGCTGTACGCAGACTTTTGCGCGTACACTTTTTCGTAGTGTTAGGTTTAAAATTAAAAATAAAATATAACCCCCTGATGAATATTTCTAATATTTCTACGTCAATGAAGACAATAAACCATAGTTTTGTTTAAAAAAAGAATGAATAAAATACATGCATAAATGGCCGAACAATTAATGTTCAAAGTTAGATTTTGAAATTTTTTTGGGGTGTACGCAGAGATACGCTCAACTGCCCATAAGTTCGGAAGCTTCACTCGGATCGATCTAAAACTTTAACACTATATTCTCAAGATGTTGTGCATTCAAAAAAAATGTTTAATACTTATTGCTGCACTGAGCGCTTTTAATCCTAAGGATTGGTGCGAAAACTCCTCATACTTTTGCTTGTGCTTTGCACAATTTAGGGGTGGTGAGAAACCGAAGTTAGCTTCGAAAATGACTCTCAGCTGAGCTTTGGCAGAGGTGCGGGCAGAGCAAATGAAACCTGTACATAGATTCTTACTCTATAGGGTAGGTGCACGAATTTAAAAATTCCAGCCGTTCCACGGGAATGTGTTCTGTGGGTTATATTTTCAGAAATTTTTGAAAACAAAATGTTTTAAAACGTAATGAACGTAAAAGAAAACTACGCTTTGTTTTTAATTATTATTATTTTTTGTCAAATACATGTTATAATATTTCAATGATTGTTTTGTAATTTTTTAGTCACAGATCATTTTTCAAATTCATTTTTAAAAAGGGTTTTAAATGATATATAAAAAAAGTCACAATATATGATCCCTATTTTGCAGAGCTCGCAAATAACTGTCGACCGTTTCACGTTGTCTGCAAATAAGTGTCTTTTCCTGACTCTTTACGAAAAGACTTAGAGAGCAACCGATTTATGGGTTCTTGAACGAGCTCGCTCGCGCTCAGAGCGAAACCGTTTTTTTTTATTTGTTCCAAGACCGTTTTGTCGTGTTCAGTGAAGCAAATGGTCTGTTGAGTATGGATTGGTATACATTCACACGCATAGCCAAGCAAATCGTTAAGCGACTGTTATGGAATATGGAATCAAAATGGAACTTGTTAACAGAAATATTTTCGAGCTATAGCCTAGTATCCACTTCGACGTAAACCGTACGCCAGTCTTGAGAGAGAGCGAGAGGCAAACAGCTGGAGTTCACTTTTCGTCGGGCCATTTTTTCACGTCGGTCCCCTGATCGACGAAAAAATACCAGAAAATTCCATAGCGTTGCCAGTCTGCGGAAATAAACTTTGGGTGAACCCTAGCGAAAAGATTACAAAATTTAATCTTTTGGTGTACGCTTCTCACTGAACATTATAAGAAATGGAGGGAAAAACTCAAAAAACGCACAAAAGTCGATTGCAGGTGTTTACATGTGAGGACAAAATAACATTAATACTATCTGGGGTGCCTCTTGTCAGAGCAAAATGTTTTTTAGGTCCAGAATGTACGAAAAAACACAAAGAAAGTGCAGCTATGAACTTTAAATTAGCAAATAATTATCAGTAAATTTAAAAAAAGAACTGTTAAATTTAAATTGTATTGTTTTTTTAATTTCTTTGTACAGCGGCAGACTTGTCTTGCCAAGGTATTTGATAATATCTTTTAAAGGCTCTTTCCCGCAAATACGGTATTTGAATTCTAACTGCTTGTCAACAAACCCAGCTGATTGACAGTACGACCGTAGCACGCCTAAATCTGATGAACTCTCAAAATTTTGGTCACACTGCAAATATTAAAGTTTTTACGCTAGCGTAATCGTTTGTCGATCTGGATACTAGGCTTATGCAATTTTGTGAGAGAAGGTTCCAGTTTCCAACGTCCCACAATCGTTAAAAAGTCAAAATTTTAGTATATTTTTGAGCATGTGGTATATTTTATTTTACTGACTGTGGGCACTTAAAAAAATTGTTATTAATGTTTTCTTTTAAACTATTTTGGTGGTTTTACAGAAGATGGAAGATTTTAGTTTAAAATAATTAAATTCATTTAAATTAATCAACCAAATTGTATAAGCTTAAACAATAAATGGAAAAAATACTTAAATCATAAACAAAATAACGATTTTTTCCGGAAGAACGTAAGTTTATTTCCTTTTCATTTATAATTAGTATATTAAAACCTTTAAATTTATAAATTAACAGGTGTGTCTAACTAAAAGGTCGATATTTTGTTTTGTTACTTTTAAAAACAACATAACATAATGTAAGTGTATATTTAAAACAAACAAAAACTTTTTGAGTTACTTAAAATCTGCTTAAGTAAATAAAATTGTTATATCCATGCAGAAAGTAACATCTCAGTTTGTAACGCGTTGAATAAGACATTTCACAACCCAAAAAGTATGAACACACACCTGCTCGTCAAACTTTACGCAAACCATAAAAAAAAGAACGTTTGGACTTGATATTGATTTTTTTTGTCATTATTATTATTATTGTCATAATTATACAATGGTCTTTATATATCATATTTTAATAGAGGAAAGGAGATTTGTGCGACAGAAAAACAATTTTAAAATTATTTCTTGAAAACTGTACAGAAGTTGATTTATCCTTTCCTAATTGAAAAAGTAGAAGGGTCCCTAAGTTATCATCCGGAGAGTAGTTAAACAAGAAGGGTGTAAATACCATTTACATCGGGCATTTAATTTATTTTCAAAATATGATTTTGCTTACCTTTTATAAAATGTTATATTTTTATTAATTACAGATCTATTTTCATTAAGATAGCAGTAAAAGTGGTTGGACAAAAGGGTGCCAAGACTTCTGGCATCGAACAGTGGTTCGTCTTGTATGGAGCCGCGGCCATAAATACTTCTAGTTGTTATATTGTTACAAAATTTTCGCCAATATTAAAAAAAATATATAAATATATCTTATAAAAAATGGGCCATATCGTTCGTCTATATGATATAGCTGCTATAGGAACTATCGGTTATAAATACAAATTTTGTATGAACATTTTTTATTTTTAAAAATATGTTATCTAAACTCCCAAACTGTAAGTTCTGAGTGGTTTTACATATGCTTATCAAATTTTATTTATTTATTTATTTGCACAGCCATCAACGAATCTATATAATTATAAAAAAATGTATAATGTTTCTTCTAGTAAGTTGAACACAGATTCAAGTAACGTTGATTTATCCTTCTTTCCATGTTTTCTTTGTCCAGTTATAAGTGAATACGACCGTAAAATGAGTGTGTTCAATATGTCTGTGTTTGTTGCAATGCGTGACATTGAAATTGTAGCCGTTATTCTCAACATTTTTGATATCTTCCCGTAATTTCGCAGCGTTGCTACCATCTTTGGTGCACCATAAATTTAAAATATTCTGTCGTGAAAATACACAACAATACGAACTTTCTTTTGGGAATTCCAAATATAAAAAAAAAAAGTTAGTTTTTTGTTAATTTCATATCAAGTTAGTATAAATTAATTTCATAAAGTAAAATAAATACCTTGAGCTTAAAAATCCATTTTAAACTAAACTAGAAAGGAAAGCTAACTGGGGGCGGAGCCGAAGTTGATCTACCCTTGAAGAATATTCTGTAAATTATATTGGTTGGCGAAAAATAAAACCAATAAAAAATCCCAACTTCCTAACTTTAAAAACACCAAAGTTATGGCATTTCCAATCGTTCAGTTATATGGCGGCTATAGGATATAGTCGCCCGATCCAGCTCGTTCCGACTTATATACTACCTGCAATAGAAAGAAAACTTTTGGGAAAGTTTCAAGCAGATAGCTTTAAAACTGAGGGACTAGTTTACGTAGAAACGGACGGACGGACGTGGACTAGATCGACTCTCCTGGTCATGCTGATCCTTTACTGCGTTGCAAACTTTTGACTGAAATTATAAATTATTTATATACCCTCTGCAAGGGTATAATAAATTTATAACAATTGAAGTGCGCTTTTACTTTCAAATATTTCACCAGAGCTCCAATGCTGAAATGAACACTTGTTCATGCTTTTGATTCTATTTTAAGAAAGTACTGTTAGGTTTCCAGCGAAAACCGGTTTGCTAATTGAATATTTATTTGGACATTTGAGAGAAAAATTGTGTAAATTGAGTTTAAATATTTTCTAATATTTTTCTTTGATTTTTGGCCTCTGACGGAACCATTGCATGTGCATTGGTTCCAACATTGATATTTTTTGTATTTAATAATTTATGTACGTTCACCATAGAATTCTATATTTATATAAAAAAAGGTATATTTTTCGTAAACGTGATTTTAGACAATATTTTTTTTTACGTAATTATCTACGATGTTAGGAGCAATTAATGAAAATTTGATTAACTTTGTGGTTTTCGAAAAAGTATGCGTAAGTTTCGCTGGCCTAATGATGCTTTTACACTTAAAAAACGATTGTATAGTGCACAATTTTTTAAACTCAATTTGTTTTTTTGTAATTAATAAAAGTAGCAAAAGAAAAAAGCAAAAACAATAGCTACAACCGAAATCATAGTGCTTCTTTAGAGGACACTCCATAAAATGTTTATTTTTTCCTTAAAGTAAAAGAGCGTATATTGTATTCGTTTAAGGATCAGCCGATTTGATCTAGCCATGTTCGTCTGTCCGTATGAACTTCCAGATCTCAGAAACTGCACAGCGGATAATTCTGTAGGCACATGGTATAGACAAACTGTATGGTATACAGTATTGTCGATTAAGGGGGTATATACCTTTTTCTTTTTAAAAAAATAAAAATTTTTTATTTCTTTATCTTAAAGAACAACTTCTTAAAAACATTTCCCCAAATTTTCAGAGATTTGAGCAGTAGAAAAAAAGTTACAGCGCTCCTAGCCGCGCGCCTCCTCCCCGCCCAAACCCAAACTTGAAACTTTAAACGCGAATATCTCGAAATGGTGTTTTTTGAAAAATGACTTTGCGGTGATATGGATTGGCGAAAAACTACTGAAACGATTTACTTCAAATTTTTTTTAAATGTTCGTATTTAATTTTATTAGTACTTGAGCGATCGTTTTTTCATGTAAAAATTTTTATTTCGCCGAAATATATAGTTTTGTAAGAATTTTAGCGTCCAAAAACGTCATTTTTTGCATTAAACGTTCCCGTATGCACAAACAAAAAAATTTTAAAAACTTTCGTTCAAGTACAGGATACTTCTTTAAACTAATGAAATATTTTTATTTTTTCGGTATCAGATGACCCGTTTGTCCTGATTATTATCACCGCTAGGCTCTTAAAAAAAGGCATTTAAGAGAAACAGCCACATCTTAAAAACTATTAAATATTTTTTCAAAATTTTTTGCATATACATTGTCAACCATCTAAACTTTCAGAAAATATAATCATTAATTTAATAAAAACAATAGATACATAAAAAAATCCAAACTTTCCTATTTTTTTCGACAAAAAAAAAAATCTATCCACACAAAAGGACAATTATTTAAAAAGTTATTGGATAATTAAGTATTAATTTTGATGTCCCTGCGTATTTAAAAAACAGAGTACACTGTAGCTAAGAGAGCGGAGGACTTATTTAAAAATGTTAAGGCAAATCAAATGTTTTGTTTTATTAAAAGCTGTTCGACTAAATACATAAAGATCCATTTCTAGAGTGGATATAAACCCTTGGCTTCCCAAAGTTAACTTCCATTTTTTTTTTTAACTAAAAATAGTTTTATTTTTGACTTTCACAAATTATTTCGTTCTGGTACAATTTTAATTCAAAATACAGAAAATACTAAATTTCATGTAATGTTTTAGTCTTCATCAACATTTTAAAACCCTGGAAATAACAATAAAATCCTGATAAACTTGTTTAGCTATTTACCGAATAAAATCCGTTTTATTTAACAATGACAACTATGTCAAAGTTATGGCATAATAAAAATTTTTCGTGTGTAATATAATAATCCATGCAAAAAGGTTGGTCAATTTTGGTGCCTGAAAATCGTAGATAGTTAATCCATTCCGTAAAAGAAATTATATGTCTACATAACTTCGGCAAGCCGAAGTGTATATACACCCTTACAGTTGTTACAAACGATTTCATTTCGATTTATCTGACTAAGTTACTGAAAACAACGAAGCTATGTATGTCGACTTTGAGCTGCATTTTGCCATCGTTTCTATGACAGCTATATGATATTGTTGTCCGATTTTGATAAAACTAAAATCGTAATTCTGAGACAGTATGTAATTACTAAATTTCAAAGGAATATTTTGATAAATAGAAAAAACCCAAAATAATTTGTTTTTTCACATTTATTTTTTTTAATTTTTCGATTTTTCTATATGAGATATATGATATAAATGTCCGATTTAAATTTAATTAAAAAAAATGGTTTTGCTTTGGTTTTCGAAAGTAAAAGGTCATTAAACCTTTTATATTATATGTTGGTAGCTGATTCCTCGTCGCCTTTTTAAAATTAAAAAACATTTTTTTTTCCTTCGCAGAGGTTTTTATAATATTTCTTAAAGTATCTAGGCAGTCCACTCCGCGTCTCATTTTGAATATAAAAATTGTTTTTGAAAACGGATTTTAACAAAATTTTAATGCTATGCTAAACATTCCTTTAGGTATTTATACTGAACCTTTATTTTCGAAATAAACAGATTCTAAGCCGAAATTTATTTGCAATTGGTCGCGTTTCTTTTTTGTTTCCAGCCTAAAGTGTAGTATCCCATAAAAATGCTGGACACCGCAAGCAATTGAAGAGTAAAACTTTTTTTTGACTATTCGCCAGCGGCGTTCCTGTTTCGTGCATTGACCTAAGTCGCCCTGTGTCCTGCTTCCGGAAATGCTTCAACATTTTTCAAATTTTTACAAAATCATCTTTAAAATATCAAAAATATACCTGTAAAGTTTGAAGTACCTATGTTCTTTTCTTTGTCCAAAAAAAATTCCTGAAAATTGCCTATTTTTTGACACAACTAACCAGAATAGGCCCTTTATAACTTTTAATTAAAACCAAACTTACTTCGCATATTTTTCTGAAACTAAATTTATCTCTTCTACATTTTATTAATATTTAAGTTTTGTTAAAACTTTTACATACAAACTTTTACATAGTACTCATAAGTTTTATTTGAACGAAAATTCAATAAAGAATTTGTTGTAATTGTATTGCAGATGTAAAAAATGCTGACAATTTAATATTTTTAAGTCGCAGAAGTCGCGCCGGAAAAAATATGTAACTGGTACTTTGCCATAAAGTTTTGGT